GGGAAGCGCCTGTGTGTGCTCGACTCGGGCGGCCAGCTGCTCGATGGTGACGACCAGCCGATCGACCTCATGAGCTGGAAGGCCAAGCTGCCCCACTGCAAGAAGCGGTGCCCCGGCACCGCCGACGGACCGTTCGCCCGCATCGACGTGCGCCTCGACTTTGGCGAACTCGAATTCTTGCAGGACATGCTCAAGTACGCACACCGCGCACACCGCGCACACCGCGCACATCGCACACACCACTAAACGAAGAATGATTGGAATGTTTGCAGGAATGAAGGGGACAGCAAGTGGAAGGAGTTCTTTTTCGAGGGCAAGTACGGCTACGAGAAGCGGGCGTTCATTCCCCTCTCGCCGCCCACGCATCCCTTCAAGGGCGGGCCGCTCTATAGCCCCGAGATCCCGTCCGCCCGCATCCATCCTATCGCCATCGGTACCAACGCTACCGCACACACGACGCACAGGCGACACTACGCACACGCGCATGCACGAAAAGCCTGGCCTTTGACATTGAGTGCGGCGTGCGCCTGCACAGGTATATGCAAGTGTTGCTCGCACGTGACGTTCGCCCACTGCATCCGTCACAGCATGCTGCTCACCAAGGCGCACGTTCAGGAGGACCCGCTCTCCGTCGTCGTATGTACGTAGCCTCGCCAGGCTCATATAGTCAGTCGCACTTCGTGTGATTGACGATCACGTGCGTGTTTGGGTTGTCGTGGTCAGCATGCGCCACTCCTGGGTGCCAGACGGAGACGACCGGTAAGGGGCTCGGCGTCAAGTGCCGAACCCGTCGGGGCGGCGACATCGACTGGCTGCACCTGCTCATCAGCAAGTCCGAGGCGGCCTACCTCAAGAAGGCCTGGTATGGCCGCGGCCTTCACTACCACAGCAGCCTCACCTTCTCCACTCGGTACACTTAATTATAGAGTATTGAATTATTGAATTATTGACTTCTTATTCTTATTCCTGACCCCGCGCGGTGTGGGCAGGATGCTGATCTGCCGACAGTGCAAGAGCGTCAGCTTTCCGGGCGTGGAGGGCAGGCTCTGCGAGCTGACCAAGGCTGGCCTCATGACCGTGGAGCGCAGGGACGACACCGGCATCAGCGTTCGCAACTACAATACTCGCACACCCACGTCGCCGGTACACCGCTTCTCTCACACCTAGGCCGTTGTTCGTTCCTATCTTCACT